GAGCTCTGAGCTATTGCTCGAAGGCAAACGTGCTAACCTTGGCCATTGACAGCGTTGCGAGCGTGAAACAAGTATCTTTGAAGTTGATGGGGGAGGGTTGGTGGCAAAAGCGAAATAATTTAAGGGGGCCTTTTTAGTAGCAAAAGATTTGTGTGCCAGAGCATTTAATAGGTTAATAATGCGAGTATTTCAAAGAAACTTCATTGTGTAGCCGTCTGTGTGTGTGTGTGTGTGTGTGTGTGTGTGTGTGTGCCGCACCGTTAGCCGTTCCACTCTCAACATAACACAGTCTGCAGTCTGCGAGCTATCACTCAAAAAGGCAACAAGAAATGAGTTCAAGTTTTTGCGCCATCTTCGGATTACACAGCCGCCCCTCCGCCCCTGCTTGCCTTGCCCCACCGTTAGACAGCGCCGCATTAACCTTTAAGAAAGGCAGCGAGGCGTGAATTGTGCAGCAGCTGCAATAATTGCTTGGCCTAAGTTAATTACACACAACAAGGCGAACTTTAAGACGTTAATTAGATATCGCGAAACTGGGGGAGGCCTGAAAATGCAAAATTACGGAAGAGGAATCTTGAAATAAATGAGTTAATCAAATAGGAAACATAATTCAGTTCGACCAATTAATATAACATAATATAATATATCTGGCAACGCTTTATGTTAATTTTGTGCTTAATTTAATAAGCAGTCAATATTAAAACTTATTATGGCCTAGTTCATCTCACTGGTAACGCTTTTAAGGATATTATGCATTTTTTGATTAGTTCAATATGAAAACTATTTATGGAAAAATGCACCTATCTGGCCTTTCATAAAGCTTGAGTTGAATAGTTCATCCATCTGGCAACGCGTTTCGTAAAGTGTTTTGTGTACATAAGCAGGTAGTACGGTTTTATTTTTAATGTTATATGAAAACTATTTATAAACAAGTGCAAGATCTGGCAACGCCGTTCACAAAGCTTGTGGCTGAGTTAATAAGCAAGTAGTTGAATGATCTATCTGGCATAAGCTGGTAGTAAGGATTTCTGCTTTCCGTAACGAACATATATTATGAAAACTATCTGGCAACGCTTTTCAGGAAGTTTGTGTTTAGTTAAGTGTAGTTAAGTTGTCTGCTAAATGTCATAATTGACGCATCTTTGCTAGTGATACGATAGTATATTTTGTGAAATAGTTTACACATCTGGCAACGCTTTTCATATGTAAATACGTTGGAGGAGGCCATAAGGGGTTGCCGCCTATGCCACTCAGTATAACAAATAGGAAATGAATCGCGCATCTTTTGAAGTTGATGTTTAGGTAGATAGTATTTATCAAGTTTTTCGCACTGTGTACACACTGCGAGAGCGGCTGCGCCCCAAGTGTTAATCAATGACAAAACGAACGACTTATGTAATGCCCCAGGGCGGGGCAAATCGACGAAAAATCAAACTGATTGTTGGACTTGGGCTATCAGTTCGCGGCGTTTACGCGGTACCGTTACGCGTTTTCAGATACCACAACATGAATGGCAGCGTGAAGGGTAAGGGGTAAGGGGTAATGGGTAAGGGGTAATGGGTAAGGGGTACAGGGGAGCAGCTGAACAGCTGAACCACCAGCAAGTAGCGCCGGGCGTGAGATCTGAACTGCTAATCAGACGATTCTACGGGTATTGCGTCTTAGATTGTTGTTCTTGGGCTCCTGTTGGCATTGCTATTAATAAATGACATAACGGTGCCTTACAAGTGACAACAACTAAAACAATAACAAATACAAAATAAAGCTAATATAAAAACAAAACGTCGCTGGAAACTTTTGGTAGAGCAGCAAACAAAAATCAAATAAATTAACGAAATAAATAAACTAAGGGAAAACTATGTGAGAGTTCGTGTAGTATTAAATGCTTGCGCTATTTATGATATATGACACGTGGTTCTAGGTTTATTTTTAGTGATTTAGTGTTTATTTTATTATGTATTTATGATATATATAACTATTTTGGACATACTGTTTGTGCCAAAGCTTACATCTACGCGATCTATAAAAATACAAATTTGTAAGCAATTTTTCTGCTCATATCACTGGGCTAATAATATCAAAGTCTTATCATATCTCTAAATGGCTTGACCAGCTCGCAAATGTCGAATATTTCCTCTATTCTCGATTTGTGTAATTGTAAATATGTTTATAGCATAAAAGTATATATATAGTATTTCATATATTTGTTGGTCAAATCTGTGACAAAGTTTTTAAAAATTGATCAAATATTTTTTGTAATTTAATTTTTACATTGCGAAGCGTATATGTTTATTTCGATAAATATCAATTAATCTCCATGATTTCATGATTCTTTAATGACCAACCTTTCCCAACAATGATTAATATCGATGTATATATGTATCTGATAGTCTTGGGTTACTTCCAGCCCGACTTCGTGATTCTTTAATGAAGAACTTTTTCTCAAAATCGGTAAATATTGATTTATATATTTCATAATCTTGGGCTATTTTCAAATCGATTCAATGATATGTTTATGATCAAATTTATACCAAAATCGGTGAGTGTTGATCTCTATCGATAAATCGATAAATATCGATTACTAAATTTGATGTACCTTCCAAAATCGATTGATATATTTTATAACCTTGGGTTACTTCTAGCCCGGCTCAATGGTGTATCAATGACCTATTTTTGCCCAAAATCGATAAATATGTTGTCGATAAATATTTCTTTATATGCAGTGTGTTTTCCAGTTTAAGCTGCCCTACTAGAGATTTATTGTATTATATTTTATTGGGTTTTTTTTAAAGCTCTTACTAATTGCTAATCGGCGTGCTTTCTCATCACGCTTTTGTTTATTTGTTTAGCTAATGAAGTTATTTTTTGTTTTCTTTTGCCTCTTTTTGAGTGTGAATTTTAATTGATTTTGTCTGCCACCTTCACACATAATTTATGAAAAGCGAAAGTCAAAAGAGAAGAATCAAGCGCTTGTCTTTGGCATAAGTTGTTTGTGTGTGTGTGTGTGTGTGTATACGAGTTGGCAACGATTTTCATTAAGGTTGTTGCGGTTAGCTTAAGCGAAGATTTCCTGCAATTTTCTTATTTATGATTCTACATTTCAATTGAAATTGGAATACCGAGGCCTGAAAATAGTTTTGCGAATCAGAGACCCGCATGCCTCAGCGTCAATTTGCGTGCAAGAGTGTGTGTGTGTGTTTGAGTGATTGAGTGTGTGTGTGTGTTTGTGTGTGTGTGTAAGTGTGGCAGTGTACGCACATACTCACCACATTCTTATTACATGCAAACAAGAAGGTCTTTCGCTAAAAATATCCCACTTCCTAACGATTATTATCTGGCATAAAGTCTTGGTATTTGTTTGTTTACATTTGCCACCCACTAAACCTTAGTATAAACTGGTATATGCTTATCGCTTTGGATTTTAAATATATTTTTAATTAAATGCCCTAAAGATAGACACCCAACTGGCACAGTGGCACAAGGGCACAGGCGGGGGCGGGGCGGGCGCAAGCCTTAAGGGCCCCTTATAAAATCAAATGTTATTGCTTAGATAGCGCAGCTTGTCTAAACGATATAGATAAGCGCATACTAACATTATGATTGGCTGAGTTAAGAAACTGCGTTTTAAATTTTCATAATTTTATATATTTTTTATTGTCTTGTGGTTTTTCCAGCTGTGATTTTCCCAGCTGGTGACACTGAAGTGCTTGGCTAGCCCACACACACAACTTATGTATTTCTTTTTTTTTCTTGAGCATTTTATGTTCAAGTTTTGTTGATGGTCATTTAAATGAATGAAAATCACGCGATTGAGTATATAGCAGTATAGACTTCAAGGGAACGCTATATGCTTAAACCTTATCAGAGTGAGACTGTCCGCAGATGGGTTTGCTTAAGCAAATACCTTTTGAATAAAGCTGAGGTTAATGTGGAAGGAACCTTAGATAATTACATAGAATACTTGAAAGCTACTCTTCAATTATGGAATAATCTTGGTGCAAAATGTTTTCACGATTCTTGGATAAATTTTTAGGGAATATAGAAGAAATATAGATATATACATAGAATTAAAACGAAAAATTCACAAATGACAAATAGGCAAATTTCCTGGCTGATAGACAGGTAGGTGAAAATACATATGTACATATAGACAATGGAAAGATAGAATGTTTGTCAAGAAATATATGTATGTAGAGCCTAGAAGAAGCCACCTTCTAACCTATTAAGTATATATATACTATAGATCGGCTGAAAATTAAGTTGGGGCACGGAAAAACTTTTTTGATAAAGATATAAGCTCTTTACCAATATCGGCATATACAAGTTTAACAATGGCCCTTTCACGTAAAGAAAGAATCGGTGGAAACATGGGATTTGTATGAAGAACTTTTGCATTTTTAAGTTATCTGGACCAAGCCCTGCAATCAAGAGCTTCGCAATTCTTTTCACATGTCAGCAAAAGTCATGTGTCTGCAAGGGTATTATATTTTCGGTGTATCAAATAAAGTTGCACTTGCTCGTTTTTTATTTGTTCTAAATCGTAAGATTGTCGTTCCACTTGCTAGCACTCAATCATTTTTAACTGTATGCATAATTATGGCAGCCACTGTAGCCAGCTCGTGACCCAAAAGGAAGTCTGACAGGTGGATAGTCGGACAGTCGGATAATCGGATAGTCGGCCTGCTGGCATGCCTCTAATCAATGTGAGTGCTCTCTAAGTAGTACACATACTTGCATACAATTAAATGTGTGTGTGTGTGTATGTGTGTGTGTGTGCTGGTGTGTAAAGAGGGCAGCTAACAGCTGATTAAGATACTTGGAGAAATCTGGCGATGACGTTGCGACTATGACTGATGAATCATTGTGAATGGGCGTGCGATTTGTGCGGAATTTTATAAGCAGCAGTACGACGAATGTCTTAATGAATCAGCGTGCGATTGTTGTTGCTATTGTCGCTGTTGCTCATGTGCTGTTCTTATTGCTGTTGTGGTTGCACTTACCTTCGATGCATGAAGAACTAACAAAACGGTGCCAGGACGAATCGTTGCCAGCAGCATTTGTGCGCTTCTGCATGTTGTAAGCGGCGGCGGCGGTTCCTTGCACATCCTGACGCTTGTTGTTGTAGCGCGACTTGCGTGTCGCCTTGCTGTTGTTGCTTTGCTGCTGTTGCTGCTGCTGGTAATTATTGCTTGCAGTTGTTGCTGCTGCTGCTGTTGCTGCTGCTGGGCCATGGCCAGCAGCCGTTGCTAAGTTGCCATTGGCGTATTTCTGTGCGCAGCGTTTGCTGTTGCTGTTGTTGCCGTTATTGTTGTTGTTATTGTTTTGGTTGTTGTTGTTGTTGGTGTTGTTGTTATAACGTTGCATGTTGTCATCTGCGAGAAAGAAGGAGAATAGAAAAAGAATATGAGCATTAGCAAATGTAGTTTAACAGTTTCTGTGGAGAGTTTCTGCGCTGTCTGTGTGTGTGAGTGTGTGTGTTTGTGGCGTGTGTCTGTGTCTGTGTGTATGTGTGACTTACAAATCTTGTGTAGCTGCATTTGCAATAAGTCTTCGAGATACAAATGCATGCCACTGTTGAATACATAAATGCGCACAGTTTCTAAAGGCGGTTTGGTTTCGAAATGTATGATTCGTTACTCAACAAATAACTTTCGCTTAATTCACGGCTCTTGATCGATACTCGATACTTGATACTCGATACACGATTCTCGACTCGCCCGCTTGCACTTGCAGCTCAAATCAAACTAAATGGCGCGTTTAGCGACGAGCGTGATATAAACAATATGTATAAGAAGAACCTGGCAGTAAAATACACACTAAAAGAAATGGGAGAGGAACGAAAAAAAAACAATAACAAAAACAAAAAGCAAAAGCAAAAGCAAAAAAAACCCAGTAATACGATTCAAATCGAGCTGAATTGCGCGCTGCTATCGATGACGACACAGTGAATCACACCAGAGCGTGAATCGACGCCTGTGACAACCACAACAACATCAGCAACAGCAGCAACAACAACAACGTGCTTGATAAGTGTTCCCCAACAGAAATGCCAGTGGCCTGGGCCAAAGACAGCGCACCTCCCGCCCGCGGCCCCTAGATAAGTTGCCGTTGTTGTTGCTGTTGGGTTTTTGCACGTGCTGCACACGCCTGTTGCTGCCGTCACACAGACACACAAACAGACACGTAGTGCAGCCAGCTGCACAATTGGCGGGAGAGAAGTTTCCACTCGTTGGCTTTCTTACAGTGCCGTCGTTTTCAGTGTTTTGCTCTCTCTCTCTCTCTCCTGTTGTTGCTTTTGTGGGTGTATAGATCACAAGGTAGTGGGTTATTTTCTCTGGCTTAGTGCGAGTACATTACAAATTTGTATGAACAGAAACAAAAAAAAAAAAAAAAAGAAAGAAAGGAAAATAGAATTTAGATAATGATAAAAACGGTGCGGCTTGTACGGAAAATTTACTAGCTTGTAACGGTTGAACACATATCGACTATATACAACATTGACAAATACTTAAAATGCTATAAATATACAATATATATATAATATATACATACTTGTATGTGTGTAGGTGACATCTATCGGGCTACTGCTCTTTGCATATTTCAAAATCAAGCTTTAAGCCAAGTGCTTGATTTTTTTTGAAGAGTCAGTAGAGTCGCGTTAGGTAAGGGGAACGAATAGACAAACAAGACGATCCTATATATGGTATGGTACTCTATAATAAAACTAATGTTGAGCTTGAGATTGAAAAGCTTGTTTGATTTTCCAGATATCTTGTATGAATCTTAACTAATTCGAACTACTTTATTATATAGCTAATATAGAGAATCAGTCGTGAATAAACTGCTTCGAACTAGTTAAACCTTCTTGGTTTTATACAGATTGAAGAGGCTGGAAAGTCCACAAGGAAATAGTGTTATTCCAAAATTCCAAGATATAGTCAGAACGGAAGTACTTCAGCGTAAATCCACCTTCTGAGAAAGTATATATGGTCTGATTACAGAACGTATTATCTATATCATATATGGTAATGCCAGTTGAAAAATAATTGAAATAAGTTGTCATCCGATTCGAGCTTGAATTCGCTATTTGAATTTGAATTCACTCGCTTTTTAACAAAGGCAACAACAATTCTGGTAACTATGTGCATATATAAATTTGGAGCTCATCGTTAGTCCCCGGTCTGGGGCCACACCTCCTTTTGCTTTGCTTTCACTGCCATGGAATCTCTGCTATTTCGGCTGCTTGGAAAGGCGAATATAACGGCACTTGGCCAAAAACAAAACAAAAAACGCACACTTAATAAACAAAAACGGCGAAAAAGTAGCTACAAAATTCAAAAATAAACAAATACATATTCCTCAAAACAAAAAACAACTAAAAACGAAAAAAAAAACTGACCAAATAAAACAAAATAACCGAAAATTAAAAATTAAAATAAATACAAGAAAAAAGCTGAGCCAAAAGCGACTACAACAAACAGGTACCAGCTTGTGCCTAGCGCCGCTCCATGTGACTGTGCGTGTGCGTGTGTGTGTGTGTGTGTGTGTGTGTGTGTGTGCGCGCGCGCGAGTGTGTCTTTAAAATCCACCCACCACGCCTACCCCGTCAGCCGCTTTTGACGTTGCAAAACAAATACAGTGAAAGATTCTTGAAATTGTAGCGTAATTTTTGGCGAATTCAATATTTAAATGCAAATCCAAAACAAAAGCATCTAAACACCCCTCCCCCCCTACATTCCCAACCTTTTGACCACTCTTTATGACACCGCAAGCCCCGGCCGGCAGTTAGGCGCTTTGATTTATGAAAGAAAAGACGGCGACGACCGATCGTATCGGATCGAATCGGTTAGCATCGTGCCTGAATGGAATTGCGTAGTGGGTAAAGCCAGCAACAGCATTGACAAAACAAAAAAGCCGAATAGTGGTCACAGTGAAGTTGGAATACCCTACTTTTGCCTTTTGTCGAGCAAAAAAATTGAAACATATGTATGTACATATGTATAGGAATTATGCATACACTTACTTTACAGTATGGAAGAACTTGTGCATTTTGTTGGGCTCAAGCTCTATGGTATTTTTATAGGACTCATCTGCCTCCCTTTCCCTCTCTCTCTCTCTCTGTTACAAAAACCGTATAAAGCCAGTTTTCAAAAAAAGATTTCGCATTCGAAATCAATGCAAAATCAGCCATTAAAATGTGTCATAACTTTTAATGTGATATCAGCGCGAGTTCGTTGAATTGCCTCAGCTACAAACACACACATGCATATGTAAATGCATCCACACACACACACACACACAGGCGTTTGCCTTGGCATCCCTGGTTTGCAGCATTTTAGCCCATTTGGCGGCACTATTGCAGCTTTGGCAACGTTGCCAAAACGGAAATGCATTGCAATGCAAACGGCGCGTGTTTCTATTTGTGGCAACAAAATACAACATCATGATCGGCATGATCATCACGCTGACTGTAATGGTCATTGGCATCATTCATAAGTTCCCACAGACTGTGTGTATGCATATGCATATGTAAGCGTATATGAATATGCCAGCACTTGCATGTGTGCGCGACCAAAGTTGAATGAATTCCACGAAGAGGAAGCGCGAGCAAGAGGCAAAGGCGCAAAGGCAGAGGCAGAGGCAGACGCAGACGCAGACGCGAAGCCATCGAACCAGCCGCTCGAATTACAGAAACTGAGAAAAATGGGAGCTGAACCGAACCGAACGGAACTGAACTGAAGTGAAGTGAAACCAACAAAACAGATCATTAAGGGAACAGCCACAAAAGGAGACGCGAAAATTGAGCAAAAAAAAAATCCAAAGAAAAAAATAGCACTAAAAAAAACAATTTTTCGCATGGCAACACACAAAAGCTAAACCACGACGATGATGATGATGATGAGCGCAGGCGCACGCTCCAGCCAGCCCCCCTCAAGATACACATGCACATATACACACACACACACACACATAAGCACATGTGTACAGCAGGGGCCATGTGCAGCGAGTAAAAGAGTTCACGAGGGCAAGAGAGAGAGAGAGAGAGAGAGAGAGAGAGAGAGAGAGAGAGAGAGAGAGAGAGAGAGAGAGAGAGAGAGAGAGAGAGAGAGAGAGGGAGAGAGAGAGGGAGAGAGAGCAAAATAAATTCATGGAGGCCGTTATATTGAACAAGGACAAAGTGTAAAAGAGCAAATAAAGCTTTGAAGTGGAAGCATTTAGCGCGGACAGTAATAATTAAGTTAGCTGACTATTAATTTAGTTAACACAATGTGTAAATCTGTTTTAATAGCTACGATTGTAGATAATATATACATATATACATAAGTAAATGCCAGATATTCCATTAAACTTCGTTAGTTTAATAGAGTGACTTGCTCATAGTTTCGGACTCCGAACCTATGCGATGTGCCAAGTATTTAAGATTCTGTCGCGTATTTCGGCTTATGGCTTATGGACCCTAAACAAGTTTCCAACCGAATAGACAAATGAGTTTAATAACTTATGTATGTGCGTAGCGTTTTTTTTTTCTTTCTTTCTTTAGGGGTGCTGAACTTCGAAATAAGCCGAACTTGTTTTCGAAGTTCAAGCGCCCCCAAATACACGTGGTATACGCTATATGTTTAAATTGATATTAAAAATAAAAGAAGAATCATGGCTTATGGATAAAGTTTTGTAGATAAGGCATAGCTAATCTTTGGCTGTTACTTCCTGGAATCTCAACTAGCTGACTGACAAATTTAACTCTCAGTTAACTTGTAGATAAACTCTTTCTTTGAATCTTTAAGTAGGCGATGCTTAAAATGGAGGCATAGGGAAAAACTTGATACTTGGTTACCCGGTTACCCGATTAATAACCGTTTTGTTTCGTTCGATGCGATTAGATTATAATTGTAATAGGTTGCACGATAGCCGGAGTGGATTTTGCGCTATTAGAACCGGAAATTTTAATGCCCCTTTAATGTATTGTATAATTGTGAGCCGAGCCATAAAAATAAATCCACTGAAAATTAAGCTATTCGCATTCAATTACGTGCCCTCCCCCCCAAAGTCAAGCCCAGTCAAACACATGGCGGCAGAACGGGGAAGTGCTGTTGTGTGAAGTGGGGCGAAAGAGGGGGGGGGGGGGGGGGGCGCACATCACAAAA